GATTTCATGGGACCCTTTACATCTTCTTATGGTAATTTATACATTTTAGTGGCTGTGGAGTATGTGTCTAAGTGGGTAGAAGCTGTAGCATTGCCAAAAAATGATGCTAAGGCTGTTGTCAAATTCTTGAAGAAAAATATTTTTACACGATTTGGCACTCCTAGGGCAATCATAAGTGATAGGGGGACACACTTTTGCAACAAACAGTTTGAAGCACTTTTGAGTAAGTATGGAGTCACACATAAGATTGCGACCCCTTATCATCCTCAGACTAGTAGTCAAGTAGAGGTTTCAAATAGGAAAATCAAGAGAATTTTAGAAAAAACAGTGAATGCCTCTAGGAAAGATTGGTCAATGAAACTTGATGATGCACTTTGGGCCTATAGGACAGCATTCAAAACCCCAATTGGGATGTCTCCTTTTAGGCTAGTATTTGGGAAGGCTTGTCATCTATCGGTGGAATTAGAGCACAAAGCATATTGGGCATTGAAATTTCTGAATTTTGACATGCAGTCTGCAGGTGAAAGAAGATTGTTGCAACTAAATGAATTGGAGGAATTTTGCAATGAGGCCTATGAAAATGCTAAGATGTCCAAGGAGCGTACCAAAAGATGGCATGATAAACACATATTTAGAAGAGAGTTCGAAATTGACCAAAAAGTTTTACTTTATAACTCTCGTCTTAAACTTTTTCCAGGAAAGTTACGTTCTCGATAGTCTGGTCCTTATATAGTCACACAGGTATTTCCATACGAACCAATTGAAGTTGCACATGACACCGAAGGCACATTTAAGGTGAGTGGTCAATGTTTGAAGCCCTACTTCGAAGGTGGTTACAATAAGCAGAAGACCACTATTGAACTTCATTCTCCATAATAGCGACATCTGAGATAGTTTGGCTGAAAACTATAAAGCAAGCGCTTCTTGGGAGGCAACCCAAGCATTTTTATTATATTTCTTCATTAACTTTTACGTTCATTTTTTTTTTCAGAAAAAAAAAAACATGATTAATAATTTTTATCCAGGTTAATTTTCTTTCTTGAAGGATCACCTTTTTGGAGTTTAGTCATCAAGAGCATCCATGGACACATCCTACAGCAAGGGAAGTTTTCTTGTTCCTATTTTTCTTTTGTTTCTTTTGTTTTTCACATTGAGGACAATGCTTCATTCAAGTTTGGGGGGAGACAAAATTTTTGCTCAAATTTTTTTTGCTAAATCTGAAATTTTTCTTTGATTGCATTCCTTGTTGTGAATTTTTGCGATTCTTAGGAAAATTTAAATTTTGTTCAAACTTGCGAATGATATGTGAGTTAATTTTGATTCTGATGATGTCGATCCACTTACTGAGCACTAGAAGTCCTTAATTTTTGAGTAGTGTGTACATCTAGAGAACATTCATGTGAAGTATGTACTTTTCTTAGATCTCACCCAAATCTTAGAATTTGTTTGATTTTCTCTTGAGGCGAAATCCTAGGCTACATCTAACTGAGAAAATGATTTAGGCAATTTTTGGATCGATTGAGCCTTTCAAACCAACCCTGTTTATTTATCCATAGTCACCCCGTTGAGTCTTCATTATTATCCAATCTTTTATTGGCACCCACGTAATTTTTAGCTTACCTTTTGCCAAATTATATCATTGTCCCATGCCCCATGAACATGTTGATTTTTTTTAGGATAAAAGTTTATTTGAGCATAATAGCAATTTGGGAGGAAGGGTGGAGCATGGAAATAATTTGATTGCTATGGTTGTTTGCGGTGTATCTTCAAAAAAAAAAAGAAAAAAAAAAGAAAAAAAAGAAAAAAATTGCTTTTATGGTTCCCGGTCCAACTTTCAATTGAGTGAGCCTTTTGGATACTCAATGGGTTAGGAATGTTCACGTTATATTAGGAGGGACTTAGGGAGGAACTACACCGTAAAGCAATGAAAAAAAAAGGAAAAAAAGGAAAAAAAAAAAGGAAGAATGATGATCCGTAGTGGCAGAAAGATTATTTTGAAGATGTGAAATTGAGGATAGTGGCATGTGCTCTAATTAGATCCTAGAAATCAATGTGTTCATGGGTGATTTGAGCTTAAATTTACCATTATCTCACCGTTAGCCCAGCCTTACATTACAACCTGAGGAAAGTCCTATTGATTTTTGGTTGGATGATTAGCTTACATTAGTGGAGAAAGGAATGAAAAGCAAAACTATGAGATTTGGTTATAATTATAAAGAGTTTTTGAGAGGTTGCATACCAATGTGAACTTATTTGGATTGCATATAATTCGAAAAGATGAGGACTCACACACACACTTGGATCACATAGTTAGAATCGGTTTTAACTTATGAATCTATTTCAATGTTTGGATGAAATTTGTGTTTTTCTTTGAATTGTGATTTTGAGCAATTATGGAAGGAAGTCATGGAGGGGGTTGTTAGCTTGAGTATATCTTATATCTTGCTTTTGCTCGAGGACTAGCAAAATGTTAAGTTTAGGGGTTTGATAACTCTATAAAAATAGAGTTATTTTATCTACTCTAGGCAATAAATAATGCAATATTTGTTAGAATATATTTGGATTTCCTTTTATTTACGTAATTTTTCCTTGTTTATGCAAAATATTGAGATATGGAGAAAATAAGGAAAATATGACAAAAAGAAGGAAAGGAATATGCGACCCAGAGAAGAGTTAGAAGGTGGATATCACATTGGGAATTCTGCGATTTATTCCCTAATTTTATGCGAAAAAGAAGCAATTGCTTTGTGAGAGGAGTCTTGGATATTATCATATAAATAGGATAACTTGGGGGAACATGGAGTTTTTTCTTGGAGATCGTCTTTGTTTTCAGTGTTCTGAGAGTTTTTCAAGTATTTTGAAAAGAAGACAAAAGTGGAGACAGAATTCTTGTTCTTTAATTCAAGATATTTGGTTTAATTTATATTTTCGTTTCTTCTTCTATTATGTTCTAATTTTCTTTGTTAGAGCTACGATGTAGCCCAATCATGATGATATGAATTTCATGCTTTTTATGCTTTGCAAATAATTTCATTCATATCACCGCCCGTAGCGGCTGCGTTGGCTTGCGCTCTAGTCCCCCACGAAGGGATCAGAGTTCAAACCCCAGCGTAGTCGTTAGGGATTCTTAAGTGTGGCGCCGTGGTGGTGGGTTCTGCGCTAGCGTCACCCCAGGTTTATCCCTCCGGCTGTCGGCCGTGCGGGGGGTTCCTGGGTTATCAAAAAAAATAAAAATAAAAATAATTTCATTCATGTGAGTTATATATTATTGTGCTTAATGCGTTTAGGTGACTGACCACCACTTGAATGATTTGATGTGCATGTTTGAGACTGAGAAGTGATAATATGCAATTAATCCTTATAATATATAATCATGAATTAAATGTGGATAGAAATATACCATGTTATTTGTGTAGCTTTCGGTGATAAGGTGATCCAAAAGATTCATTGTAAACCGGGAATATTCACAGATTTTAATGCGCTTATGTTTATTTAAATTCACATAGAAATATAGTGAATTGATAAACTGAGTAGGTTTGCTATACCTAGAGATAGGATAGTAAATAGACTAGGAAATTCCGCTATCACATGTTTGATATTGTTCTTGTATGCATAATGATCCGAAATTCATATCTAGTGGTTATGGTGAAATCAGATGCTCTAACATATTTTACCTGATTGATTATCTGCATTTAGTTTATAAAATTTCGTTTTTAAAAATTGTCAATTTTTATTTATTCTCAATTATATTTTGATCTGTTAGATAAATTTTAGAATTAATCTATTTTTAATATTTAATTGATTTATTATCATCAATCTCTGTGGGACGATACTCTTCTCATCATTGTATTACTTATTCAACACGTTCATTGACACGTGCATAATTTTACGAACAGAATTCCGGAAATATAAACAGAGCGAAACTAGAGATAACAATAAACGCAGTCTCTGCATGAGAACAGAGATAGACAAGAAACCCGAACACAAGAAAATCGGCACATATCGCATCACATCAAATACCACAAGCAAGATAAGACAAACGAAAAACGAGCCGCCCTCCGAGGACAGACAACGGGCATAAGGATTCACCTAGATTCATCGAGAACGAACGAACGATGTCGCCTTCTGGAGAGGACACGATCAAAACGACTTGACCATTCTGTGAGCAAGAACGCACGTGATGACTCCACTTGATGTCCAGAGATCTTACCGAGCCTCTTTCAAAATTTGTTGAGAACTGCTCAACTTTTTTGCCTTGTGCTTTATCCGAAAGTGCGATGCATGCATCGCATTTTGATGGCCGTACATTGGCTCATCTCGAGATTATATTGATAGAAACTCGAATTAATTGAGTCTGAAAAGTAGAAGGATAATCACTGGTCAGTGTCGTCTAACTCATTGGAGACTTTGCTGGTTAGGATATGACACTCTGTTTTAAAAGAATGATGGCTCACTGAGGAAGTTGGAGAGAACATTGATTGTTTGATTGCGTACATAGCTGTCTTACGGATTCATTCTCGCTGGTTTACATTGAGAATGTAGCACGCAAGTTGCTCCCCAGTTGTGAGCAGTTTGAATCAACAATGGATTCGGTAGCGCTCGCGCCTCGCTTTTGGTCTGACTTGCAGTTTTTAGGCCAAAAATGCAATCCGATTAGCATGATTTTGACATGTGCTAATGTCTTTCTGAATTACCAAACACGGAACTTCTCTTTTGGAGGGTAAGAATGTGACATTTAACCGTCTGTGCTCTACTTAAAGCGATAGTTCAGTAGCTCTAGACGTTCCGGTATCATCCAAACATAAAAATCCGAGCAAAGCCGTGTTGGATCCACAGGCATAAATCGCCTCTGACGAGCCTATGGTTGGCACATAGAAAACACATAACACTAAACTTTTTACTTCATTAGGGGCGAAGCAGGAAGAGCGGGCTACCATATTATGTCGCGGGGAGATTATATAATATAAAAAACAGAGGCACAGAGAGAAAGAACACGCGAAAACACAAAATGGAGCATTATTGAGATCATTACTTGTCTATTACAATAGCAGGAAGCAAATAGATCAAATTGCACAGAAAGACGAAATACGATGCAAGTTAAACCAAAGTCAACTGCAGAAACCCAGCATGTGTAGATGTTTACTCCAAGGAGATTCCATCACGTCCTTTGCCCTAAAGAACCAAGAAGTCATAAAGAAATGCGATTTTCCAAGACTCGGTTCTGCCTCCAAGGAGGTATTACTGTATATGAAGCTAGAAATTATACTGTACTTCGAAGCTATCTCAGTGCAACCTGGAAGAGCAAGGATACTCATTATAGCATGGATTTTGTAACTTGACTTCCTCAACTTCTTTTTCCTTTTCTGAGGAAGAAATAGCTAGTACTATTTAAAAAGCACTCAGCATACCCCTTCATTAAGCATTGTTAGGTAGGGTGCCAATTGCTTCCTTAAAATCATCAAGTCACTTCACAAAAGTTTCATAAGTATAGAAGGTTGACTTTAACTTACTTCCAACGAATAGGTAAATTTACCAACTTCTTGTTGTATAGGCCCTACAGGGGATGTTACGTCAACTAGGAACCCCAGCAACTGATGATGAAGGTGCTTCGATAGCCCTTTTTATTAGTATGGGAGAATTCTTTGGGAAAGAAAATAGAGGGTCGAGTTACAAGTTATCTATAGTACCTGCAGCTTACAGACACTTTACCCACGCCCAAAATAGAGCCCATTCCCTGTGGTGATAAAAGAAGTGGACTACCGATACAGTTTTACCTATATTCATCTTCTAAGCTATTTTGATTAGCCTTGCATGGCAGATGACCAAGTAATTCGGATGAAAATACGAAGAGTTCAAGACTACAGCACAAACCTCTATTGCTCAAGATGATCCCAAAAGATTTTGGATATCTTTCTGCAGGATAACCCAAAAAAAAACAAGTTAGTTTCAACTTAAATTGCTCCTTGCATTGTAGTAAATCAGATGCCTAACCTCAAAAGGATTATTTACTGTTTATTAAAGTTGAGATTTGAATTATAACTATATTCACATCTTAGCCTTTGACAGTAAGCATCGATTCATTCTCTTTTCCTGGTAAGTATCAGTCTGTTGACAATTATATGAACACATATATGCAAAAGGCGAACTGGAAATGGTGGAACTTAATTAACTTAACTGTACTAAAAGGATAGATTACAGTACAAAACCATGCTGTGCATTCATTGTTAAAAAATTGAATTAAGTAACACGGACCATTTTTTTCTTCCAATGTGACCATCTCACACCTAACAGCGGCATCAACAGGATTGCAAATTTTTCCGATCCACAATTATGTTAAGATTGGTCCTTTCCCTTATTTGCAATGATAACTGATCCGCTTTCTACTGGAAACTTTCGTATCAAACAATGTAAATAAATTCTCCAAAACAAATCCCAAACGCTTTCATTTAGACAGATATCATGTAATGCCATTTATCCTCATATCAGATGGATTTTCTTGGTCTGACTATAATTAGGCGGCTATGTACATTGCTTCGAATCCTGCTTTTCATAGGAGGACCACGACATAGAGGATGACCACTTTGTTCGAGAAAAGTCACAATCTTGGGAAGTTATAATGACAGCAGTCTGGTCTAGTGGTCAAGTAGCTTCACCAAAGTGCTTATTGGTCCCCAAGTCTGAGCATGTATTTAACAAGCCGGCATACATGAAATCTGTGCTTCTATAGCTCGGCGGGGGGGGGGGGGGGGGGGTGGTTGTGAGGTATACGACATAGCTTGAAGGTAATTCATGAATATGGTATATACATATTATGTAACATTCTATAATCTCATGTTTCCTAGTTTGCAATGTGTAAATATAATGTATGTACACATGGCTAATCTTTCCAAATTCTATTTTCTATCGTTATGATACATATGAGCCATCTACTTTCGTATGTAGCCTCTTCAGTATGATTCGAAACATAATGGATAAAGCAGTATAAGAGTCAAACGAATAACTATAAGTGGACTGGTCATACCAAAGGCCTAGCATAGCAGCGATAGCAACTCCAAGTGAGGTGCCCACTATCCGCAAATTATAACAATCTCGCATCTTGGACCCATCAATGAGGACAGATGGCTCATTGAGTTTATGTCAGGACTGAGCTTGTGAAACACAATGATTTAGAAAATAATTTGAGGTAAACAATATTCACCCGTTAAACATTGTAAGATATCATATAGAGTTGCAGTGGATGACACAGTACAAGTATGAAACTACTATAGAGGAATTTGTATCCGATGACCAACTAAAGAAGCAAAAAGGATGCCCTTTGTAATGCCTGCCCATAAATAGATTTTGATAGCATTGACAGCTTCACACCTCAAACAAAATTGCTCCATGTAAGAGCCACATGCTGAAAGAAAGTAAAATATTGTTTCCAGAATTGCCAGAGTGCCCATAATGGGGGAAAGACTTGAGGTATCACCACATAGTTGTTTGGCGGCCATAGCCCAATGGAGAAGGTGCTGGTATGCCACGTCTCGATTGAGAATCTTGAACTCGCTTGGATATCTGGGCACGGGATTTGCCAATTTTGCCTTCATTTACTCTTAGATAAATTTATTTTATTTTGCAACTTGGTAGTTTTTATTACATAATTGAACTAAAAAAGCACAACCGCAAAGTACAGTCTCCATGCAATAAATCAGGCAAAAGAAATAACCATAAGTCATAAATGTCTAGTTGAGAGCAAGTAAATTCTACATGATAATTTCAAAAGCAATCTCATCTAGCAATAGGTCATATTTATACATATTTGCAGTTTAATTACACTTCTGTATAATAAAAAAACTACCGCACAAGTATCACCTTGTAGCCATCAAGAGCGCTTTGGAACAACTGTGATATCTCAACAAAAATGTTCAACTGGGAAGCCTTGGGTCCAAACACTCAGTCGAACGTGAATCCATGTTTTTTTCCATCTTGTCATAAGATGAAAATTATGTTCTGCTTTAGGACAAGCTAAAAGACTAGGAGGAAGTATTTTACTACTTGCAAGTAATTCAATTCCTCTATCACGAGATTCCATGGTCCTTGGATACAAAATGATGCTTTCGTTGCCAAGACCATCACCTGTTATCAACAATGGACGTACGCAGCAAAAAACTCAAATATTACCTTTTAAATCCTAAAGTAAGCAAGATTTAGCAATTTACAACTTCATATATCTAAAGTCTGTGACAAGACAATTGCCATAAGAGAGTTATGTAATTTTTTCTATGCATTTCTGATTCAGCAAGTTGAAGCTATGCACATTTTAGCGCTTCTTTTAGTTCAACAATGATTGTCTCGTGCCTCCAAAGAAAAGAAAAAAAAGAGCATCGGAATACATAATAATAAAAAACACCAATGGGCTTAATAATAGAATACATTACCTTTAACTTTTCTTCATTAGTCTAGCGCAACATCTTTAACTGTTCATGAGTCTGGTGCTGCGTTGTTTTCATGTGATGGTTGAACGTTTCCAACGCAGTTACAGTGCTTTCCATATATACTTATAAAGAGAACAAAACTCACATAAATTTCTTTCAAAGAAACACATGCATCCATTCAGGGAAAAACGATATGCTAAGTACCCGAAATTCAGTTGATCGCGATACGGCTCATTTTACAAATATGACTCTTTCATTAAATCTCTCGAGCGCCTCCACTTTATAGATCAAGCGATTGTATTCTTCTACTAAAGCCTGAAAAATATAGAAAAATTTAAAAGAAACTTCCAAAAATGAAATCACAATAATCAATAGCATAATTAACAATTTCTGAAAAAAAAATCTTTATTTTTTAGTAGATTTGCTTCTTGGCTTGTTGTATTTCGAAGCATTTTTAGCTATCATTTTGGTGAGAAAAAGTACCCGCAACGAAAAGATGTATAACCATTACTATGCATCATCTGAGTGGTATCATTCAGCCGAAGACAAAACACATACAGATAATGTCTGGTAATGGTCACACATCTTTTCATTGCGGTTACTTCTTCTCACCAAAATGATAAAGCTAAAAATGCTTCGAAATAGAACAGCCAAGAAGCAAATCTACTGGAAAATATAGAAATTATTTCCAGAAATTTTGTTAATTATGCTACTATTCATTGTGATTTCATTTTTGGAAGTTTTTTTTAAATATTTCTATATTTTTCAGACTTTAGTAGAAAAATGTGATCGTTTGATCCATAAAGTGGAAGCGCTCAAGAGATTTAAATGAAAGGTCCACATTTGTAAAATAAGCCGTATCGCAATCCACTTAATTTTAGGTACTTAGCATATCGTTTTCCCCTGAATAGATGCATGCGTTTCTTTAAAAGAAATTTATGTGAATTTTGCTTTCTTTATAGATACATATGGTAAGCACGGTAACTGCATTGGAAACATTGCACCATCAGATGAAGATGACGCATCACCAGACTCGTGAATAGCTAAAGACGTTGCAGCAGACCAATGAAAAAGAGTTGAAGGTAATGTGTTCAATTATTAGGCCTAGTAGTGTTCTTTATTACCATGTATTCTGATGTTTTTTTTTTCTTTTAGAGGCACGAGACGACCATCGCTGAATTGAAAGAAGCGCTAAAATGTGCACAGCTTCAACTTGCTGAATCAGGAAAGCACAGAAAAAAATAGCATCTCTTATGGTAATTGTCTTGTCACATACCTTAAATATATGAAGTTGAAAACTGCTAAAATCTTACTTACTTCAGGACTAAAAGGTATTATTCGAGTGTTTTGCTGCGTACGTCCATTGTTGACGACCAAAGGTGGTAATATGGGTCCAAAACCCATTTATTAACTCATTTTTAGTGGGCCGGGTTGAATATGGGTCTGTTAAAATTTTGAAAACGGGTTAAAATGGGTTTGCAATATAAAAGCCAAGTTTTATACGGGTCAAATATTCAACCCATATTTGACCTTGCAAACCCATATTTGACCCAAGAAACCCATATTCAACTCATTTGACCCACTTAAGTTATTAACTTGCAGGTTATATAGCTTAGGTGTCATTTAAAAAAAATTATTTTATTTTTTATATTTAAAAAAGTCGAAATTTTAATTATTTTTCTTTTCTTTTTCTGTTTCCTCCTTCGGCCGATTGCCGGCCACGACGACGGCAGACGACCAGTCATAGGCGAGCTTTGAGCTCGATCTCAGCCAAATCGGAGAGCTTCAAGCTCGCCAGAGGTCAACGAGGCTCAAGCTCGCCAAGCTCACTTGCGGCTGTTCGCCGGCGGCCAACCGAAGAAGAAGCACAAAGAAAAAAAAAAGACAATTAGTATTTTCATTTTTAAAAAAATAAAAAAGAAAAAGAAAATAAAGATATATGAAAAATCATTTTTAAAATTTATAAAAATTGTTCACTTATTTTATATTGCATTGAAGCATTTTAGCAATATAAATATTTTAAGAAATAAGTTCTTTTCTAAATTGGATTTTATATTAAAAAAATTTAGAATATGGGTTAGATCCGATATGGGTTGAGTCGGGTATGAGTAGCTAGATTACACTACATGAATATAAGTCAAAACAGGTTAAATTAGTCAATATGAGTCGGACCACTTTCGACCCAACCCAAACCCAACCAAACCCACCTGTTTGACATCCGTATTGACGACGAGTGATAGTCTTGGAAACGAAAGCATCATCTCGTATCCAACGACCATGGAATCTCATGATCAAGGAATTAAATTACTTACAGATAGTAAAAATACTTCCTCCTAGTCTTTTCTAGTCTTTTAGTTTGTCCTAAAACAGAACATAGATGTCTCACTTTTTTTCATTATATGACATGGAAGAAAATATGAATTCACATTCGACGAAATGTTTAAATCCAAGGCTTTCCTAGCTGGACGATTTTGTTGAGATATTAATCCAGAGCGCCCTTGATGGCTACAAGATGATACTTGCATGGTAGTTTTTTTATTATGCAGAAATGCAATTAAATTGCAAATATGTATGAATATAACATATTGCTAGATGAGTTCGCTTTTGAAATTATCATGTAGAATATATCTGCTCTCAACTAGATATTTATGACTCATGATTATTTCTTTTGCTTAATTTATTGCATGAAGGCTATACTTTGCAATTGTACTTTTTTAGTTTAATTATGTAACAAAAACTAGCAAGCTACAAAATAAAATAAATTTATCTATCTTAAGTGAAGAATTTCATTTCTTAGATACTTCGCAGGTTTGTATATTTTTGTACGGTCATTCGGGTTCAGGAAAGGCTTATACCATGTTAGGCGAACACGACTCTCCGGAACGGAAGGGGTTGATACCACGTTCTCTCGAACAGATATTTCAAACGGTTCTAACCCTTTCGGCACAAGGCTGGGAATACACTTAATTGTTTCCTTTTGACTTTGTTGCACAATGGCTGATGAATACACCTTCAGGTGCATTTCCTTCTCCAATTCTTCAGCCTATAATGATACCTTGGCCGTGTTAATATTGTACTAGTCATATTGCGTAGATCCTTCTTATGAATTGGTGTGATGTTCATCAACATTTCTTCTGAGCCCTCTTCGACTACAGTCATTGCGATCTCTTAGGGAACGCATGAAATCCATTCTGAAGCAGAATTTCTACTCCAGAATGCATTTCGGAACATATACGTTTGTTAAAAAATTTCCGAAATGCATTCTGGAGCAATTTTTGCATTCTGGAATAAAAATATGTTTGTTAAAAATACTTGATTCCAAAATGCATTCTTAATTTCAGAATGAGTTTTGGACAAGAAAAAGAGAAGCTATTTTTTGTAGTTTCTCTCTTCTAGAATGCATTCTCCCTCTTTTCTTTCTTCTTCGTGGCCTTCACAACACATTCTGAGATCTCACCAAATTGTTTTTTTAGCTTCTCTTCCAGAATGTATTCTCCCTCCTCTCCTTTTCGTGGCCTTCACAACACATTCTGAGATCTCACCAAATTTTTTTTTCAGAAAATGCATAAAAATTAAAAAATTCTAGAAAAATTCATAAAAATTTCTAGAAAATAAAAAAGTCATATTTCAGGAAAATAGGAAATTTGGTGAATTTTTTTCAAAAAAAAATCAAAAATCAAAAATTTCAAAACTTCACAGAATAGCTTAGAATACCTATGACCACCCACTTTGAGTGAAATTTAAATTTTTTGATGTACCCAAAAAAATTTAAAAAAAAAATCAAAAATTTCAAAATTTAACGGAATAGCTTAGAATACCTGTGGCCACCCACTTCGAGTAAATTTAAATTTTTCTGAGGTGCCCAAAAAAAATCAAAAATTTTAAAACTTCACAGAATGACTAAAAATACATACGGCCACCCACTTTGAGTGAAATTTAAATTTTTTTAGGTGCGAAAAAAATCAACAAAACAAAATAGATTTATGTTGTAGAAATCAATTTTTGGAGCAGAATTAGTCATATTTTATCAAACAGATTTCTCCTCCATAAATCAATTTCTAGCAAGAATTCCATAAATCAATTTCTAGCAAAAATTTGATTTTTGGAGCAAAATAGTTACCATTCGCGCTCTTAACTTTGCCGCTGGAGTAAGTGAAGGTAAAATTGGCAAATCCTGCACCCAGACATCCAAGCGAGTTCAGGATTCTCAATCGAGACGTGGCAGACCAGCACCTTCTCCATTAGACTATGGTAGCCAAACGACCATGCGGTAATACCTCAAGTCTTTCCCCCATTATGGGCACTCTGGCATTGTAGTGGCTGCACGAGAACTTTTTCTGCGAATTGAAGGAAATTCTGGAAACAATGGTGTACTTTCTTTTAGCCTGTGGCTCTTATATAGAGCAATTTTGTTTGAGGTGTGAAACTGTGTCATTGCTATCAACATCTATTTGTGGGAAGGCATTACAAAAGACATCCTTTTTGCTTCTTTAGTTGGTCATCGGATGCAAAATCCTCTATAGGAGTTTCATACTTGTATTGTGTCATCCACAGCAACTCTATATGATGTCTTACAATGTTTAACGGGTGAATATTGTTTACCTCAAATTATTTTCAAAATCGTTGTGTTTCAAAAGCTCAGTCCTGACATAAACTCAATGAACCATCTATCCTCATTGATGGGTCCTAGATGCGAGATGGTTATAATTTGTAAATAGTGGGCACCTCACTTGGAGGTGCCGTCACTACTATGCTAGGCCTTTGGTATGATTAGTCCATTTATAGTTATTCGTTTGGCTCTTCTACTGCTTTACCCATTATGTTTCGAAATACAACAACCAATAAGCAAACCTCCAAGATCAGCTACAGAGTGCTAGTCTCACATTTCACACATTTTCATTTTGCCCTAAAAACTACAGGAGCTCAAAGGCTGCAGCTTTTCCAAGAAGTAGCCCTCGGAAAGATATGCCAAAGGGATAATAAAACAAATTCTAGCTGTCACCAAACAAACGTACACATCCAAAAAATAAAATTAACATTTGTTGAGGCTTGCTAGTTAGAGATCTAGTACGAACGTGCATGAATGGTCTTAAATTGATGATTATATTCTCAAAGACCAGATGGAAAGAAACGATAACATCATTTTGGATAGCAACGGAAAGATCTATTGAATGATTAAAGAAGTTCATAAAACAGCTCTAACAAAATTAGTTCTCAAAACAGAAACACTCCTGTAATCACCAAACATGCTCCAAAATCTCATATTACTTCCAAAAGGCAAAAGACCCAAAATTCAACAACAGGTTACGATAAACAGCAAGAGAACCAAAATCCAACAACGCGAAAAGATGAAGCACACGATATGTTGATGGTCATTCTTTTGATAACTAGCAATAGATTGTGAAGACATAGCATATAACAACCCAACGACCGAGATGATAAAGAGCGGGAAATCAGACAAAACCTGCCCAGCATGTACTGCAGAAAGGATGACCACAAGCAGCCGACATAATTTTATCACGTGGACAAGACTCAAAACAGATTCCACAGGTGAGCTGCAAAGAAGGCAGTTCATAGTTAGTGAAAATAAGAGGAAACTGAGCCTGCAAACAATTCAGACATTTAAGACGACATACTTCCCTTAAATTAGGATGCTCAACAACCAGTTTTTCCAATAATCCCACTGCTTTTCACACTCTATCTTCATCAGCAAACCATGCATCATGAAACTGTTGAGCATGGACTAGAGCCCTGTTCTACTATCTACAGCTTGCCCCCTGTTCACATCAGAGAGCAGCTGTTGAGCATGGACTAGAGCCCTTCCAATAGATGGGATATCAGTGAAAATATTGTGAAGATCCTCGAGTAAAGGATAGATGGACTGGGCAAATGGTGGAGCCTCGTACTCAGGTATAGTTTGCAACTTCTCTGACCCCAAGTTTGAATCCGAACTCGAAGGACTAGACATGCAAGCCAGCGGATCCAAATTTGAAGATACAATTCTTACCATCTGAGATTGGACATCATCGTTGAGACAAAACCTCCTCAAACTCGAATAAACCCCAGAACCCATCCGTTTTGGAACCAAGCTACTGACTAAACCTTGAACATTTTGCCCACAATCAGCTTCACTCGGACTAGTATTCCCACTCCCAGAAGAACAATTTACAAACGGTGACTCTAGAATAACGAACGATGAACCAACCTCTTGTGCAGCCTTTCTGGCGGCAAAGAAATGGCCATGAAAGCCGATACCAAAGATCTCCCGCAAAACCAAGCCCCCAGCAACATTCTCGTACTTCTCCTTATTGAGTTTATCCACAAAGCAACGCCTGAGAACGCCCAGTGCCGAGGTGGGCACGGCGCAATCGACCCCATCGCCCGGCACACACTCGACGGGCTGAACCTCACCGGAATCCAACGGATCCACCTGCGCCACGACCGCGCCCGGCCGAACCTCCCAGATCAAGCACTCGGCGTCCCGCGCGGACCGCTCGGACAGGTTCTGCACGGCGAGCACGTAAACCACGGACCGCGACTCGGGCTCCCCCACGGCGAAGACGAACTGCTTCGTCTGCTCGGGAACCGGGAGCTTCCGGACCAGCTCGTTCGAAGTTTTCAGGTCATCGAATCTCGGCCTGGAGAAGGGCCACAGGGACTTCATACGCCGCACGAAAGAAAGCGCCATCAGGACCACATCCGACTCCCTTCCACTGGAGATGACGACGACGATCAACGCGGCCTCGCCATGGGAATGGAGATCGATGAAGGACGCGAGCAAGCAGGAGATAAACCCTAGCAAGCTGCTCGTCGAGGAGTAAGAGCAGGCGTAAGGATTCGCCGGGATTCGCCTCCTGGAGAGGACAGAGTCGAAATGACTTGACTAATCTCTGGGCCTTGCGAATATGCTATATGGGCCTCGTTCGGAATTGGGCCGAGATCGAATCTGAAAGAAGTGTCCCTACATCTTTTCACTTTTTCGCTTTATCTAAAAAGGAAAATGACGCAAATAGTCCGGAACTTTGGCTCAATATACAATTTGGTCTTTAAAATTTTAACTTATTCAATGTGAATATAGTTCAGGGACCAAATTGAACATGTACCAAAAGTCCAAGGACCACATTGAACAAATTAAAAGTTCATGGATCACATTACACATTTGGTTAAAGTTTAGGGACTACATTGAACAAGTTAAAATTTCATGGATCAAATTGCACATTGGGCTAAAGTTTAAGAACTATTTCTATCTAAAAGGAATAATGACACAAATAGTTCATGAACTTTGGCCCAATGTGCAATATGGTCTCTAAACTTTTAATTTATTCAATATGGTTCCTGAACTTTTAAGTTATTCAATATGATCTCTAAACTTTTCTTATATGTTCAACTTAGTTCCTGAACCATATGAAAATCCTCAATGTGGTCTTTCCAGTAATTCAGATTCATGGACAACATTGAACATTTTCATGTTATTCCGAGACTAAGTTAAATATATACCAAAATTGGGGATCACATTGAACAAATTGAAAGTTAATGAATTATATTACACATTGGGCTATAATTCATGGACCACATTAATGATATTAAAATTTTAGAGATTTCATTGTATATTGCCCCAAAGTTCATGGACCATTTGTATCATTGTTTCTATTTGAAACTTGCAACTTACTATGAATTTCTTAAAGTCAAGAATGCTCGAACATTTTGACAATATACTAATGTTAGCACGTAAATTCGCATATAATATTTTCATGATTCTTTCAGATTTTAGATGATATATCAAATTTTGGCTAAAAAGTAGGAAAAAAATGCTTTTTGCTTGAACTTAATTGAAATCAAACAGACTCGATTTTCAGAGCATTAATTGACAGAGTCGGCAAGTTAAAAATTTTCAATGGTCCCTAATTCGATTGCTTGACAAAACCCATGCAACAATACTTCTTTTTGTGAAATTCCTTTCTAGTTTCTATCATGTTCAATTTTGCGGATTTTAGGAGTATGTATGTTCACATCTATACTTTCCATTTACTTCTATTCTTGTGTCTGCACACCATCACCTTTCCTTTTTCCTTGATATGCTTATGACAACCTCATTTTAAAATAGCTCCAAAGGAGCCAATTCCTTCAGGTTCAGGACTGCAAATGGCACAAGGAATGATCAAACAATCTTGGGTCTGAAAGTAGAATGGTAAATCACTAATTAGAGTCCTCTAACTCTCTGCAGACTTTACTGGTCGGGATGTAACTCTCCGTGGAAAGGATGATGACATTGAGAAGTTGTAGAGTACTTCAATTGTTCGAGTGCATATACACCGTCTTCTGGATTCATTCTCACCGGTTTATATCGACGGTGCTGTTTGCAAGTTGCTCGCCCGTTGTGATCAGTCGAATAAAGCCAAACTCAGCAGCGGTCACGGCCTTGGTTTTGGTCCAACTGGCAGTTTTACACCAAAAATGCATTCGACATGTGTAATTTGGACATGAAACTTCTCTCTTGCAGTGTAAAAAACGTTACTTTTAACTGCCTGTGCTCTACTGAGTCAATAGTTCAGTAGTTCTGGACGTTGGAATAGCATCCAGACATAAAGATACAAGCAAAGCCGCGCCGGACCCACAGGGCATAAATCACCTCTGAACAGCCTATGGTTGGCATATAGAAAGCACATTACCGTAGATCTTCGACTTCATTACAGGTGACGTAGGAAGAGCAGGGTACGTCATGGTGTCGGTGGGAGATTACATTATACAAAAAGCAAAGGAAAAAGAGAAAGAATAAAGGAAAACACAAAATGGAGCATTGTTGAGACCATTACTTGTCTGTAACAATAACGCCTAGAAGAATTGTTCAGGAACAGGAATGGAGAAGAACTGAATAATCAGACACTTGAAGTTACAAAATATGTTAAAGCAAATTGGAATGAATTCCATCCAATGTTACTTTACCAGCGATCAAGACCAATCAGATAATTAGCACAAGGAATCGTTAAGGCTTCAATGTGAAGAAAATCACACCTGAATATGGACTCAAGTCCAACAACTGGACTGCTATATCTCGTGGATCGTTGAACTGAAATAAAGCCATCATAACCTTCCGTTATTGAAATTATACGTTCTTCAACTTGTACATCAAATATTCTAGACTTTTGTATTCTGCTCCCATTAGCATGCACGACAGCCTGAGATGCCTGCTGCAAGCTTTGGATTACTTGACCTAAACTGGCGATTGAGGGAGCTGCAAGAAGTGATTCAGCAGCGCATTTGATGCCATCTCCACATTCAAGTAAACCTATGTAAGTGGCAGCACTGTGCCCAAATGTTGCCCAAGGTAGGAAACCGACTGATTTGACGCGCCATTTCCTCATTATTTCATAGAATCCAGTTCTCATGGCAGATAAGCTTGTTTTCTCAGCGGAGGCGATGACACCATGAGCCACCATCCGGAATGTCTCAGCCGAAGCAGTTGCTTTCAAGGCTGAGGTTTTCGCAGCAGAACCAGCAAGTCCAGGGGACACCAACTTTGAGGGACCTAGAGACTTGCCGAAGGCCATCGCTAGTGCCTTTTGGGTTGGAGACAGCATGAGCTTAAATGAAGCAGGAAATTTGAAGGTCTTCATAAGCCTGTACAAGCGAAGGACTTTCAACAGGGAAGAAGCTCCTAAGATGGCCGTAGCTCCAGCACCTAATGCCAGCACCGGTTTATCAGACAACTTTCTTTCCTTGTCTCCTCTATTAGATATTTCTCCGGCTACCTCAGAATCTGTAAAAAGTTCTTCAACCAAATCTTCTACTTCCAGGGGAATGGGAGTGTTCCAGTGCTTCCTGAGACCCGCTAAGGCACTAGCATCAACTACAGCAACTATAGTCTTGAACTTTTTAGCCTGACTCCGAAGAGCCTGTGCAAAGAGCACTTGTGCCTTTTCCTCGTATGGAAGATCTGCAAACTCAGTTTTGAAAGAATCACCACTCCCCATTTTGTTACCATGTAGCCGCGCAGTATTATTCAGTGCTATCCTCAACCCCTCAACAGCAATCCGGAAGGAATAAACTTCAGAAACTAGTCGACCATCTACAGCTTGCCCCCTGTTCACATCAGAAAGCAGCTGTCGAGCATGGACTAGAGCCCTTCCAAAAGATGAGAAATCAGCGAAGATGTTACAAAGATCCACTAGCAAAGGATAGATGAACTGGGCAAACGGTGGAGCCTTGTAATCAGGAATGGGTCGGATCTTCTCTGACACCAAGTTTGAATTAGAACTCAACATCCATGCCAGCGGATCCATATTCGAAGATACAATTCTTACCATCTGAGATCGGACTTCGTCATAGAGACAAAACCTCCTCAAACTAGAAGAAACCCCAGAACCCATCCTTCCTTGAGCCAAGCTACTGACTAAACCTTGAACATTTTGCCAATAATCAGCTTCGCTTGGACTAGTATCCCCAGAAGACCAATTTACAAATGGTAACTCTAGAATAACAAACGATGAACCGACATCGTGTGCAGCCTTCTTGGCGGCAAAGAAATGGCCATGAGAGCTAATACCGAAGATCTCTCGCAAAACCAAGCCCTCAGCAACATTCTCATACTTCTCCTTGTTAAGTTTATCCACAAAGCAACGCCTAAGAACGCCAAATGCTGAAGTGGGCACTGCGCAGTCGACCCCATCGCCTGGCTCACACTCGACAGACTGAATCTCAATAAATCGCAAGGGGGGTCAGCACACGCCACAACTGCACTCGGCCGAATCTCCCTAATCATGCACTTGGCGTCCCGGGCAGACCGCTAGGATAAATTCTGCACGGCGAGCATGTAAATCACAGACTGCAACTCGGGTTCCCTCACAGCAAAGACGAATTGCTTCGTCTGTTCAGGGATCGGAAGTTTCTGGACCAACACATTCGAATCTTTCAGTTCATCGAATTTCGGTCTGGACAAGGTCCATAGAGATTTCAAACTCCAAAGTGCCATGAAGGACCACGTTGGCTCCCTTCCGCTTCTATGGGACTCACAAGCCGAAAACAGAACTTCCCTGAAAGGATCAGGGAATATAAACAGAGCGAAACTAGAGACAACTGTAATAGCAGTGTTGACTGGGTCTAAATTGGCAGACGCCCGGAATTTTTTTTGGATTTGAATAAAAAATATTGGGAGTCAAACCTCTAACTACTGGTAGGAGTCGTTCGCTTGTCAACCAGTTCAAACGGTTGAACTGCCTGGTCGTTAGCTGCTCGATACTAGTTTTTGACATAGGGCAGCCTGTGTTGTATTCCCTGATTACAAGATACTTTCGTGTCTTTACAAGTTTGCATGCATTTCGTCTGCTAGGACAACAATTTCTTAGGGAAAGAAAGAAAAAGGAAAAGAAAAATTCGCGCGTACATGTCTGGGAGATCTCGCCGAGTCAGATTAACTTCATTTCGCAATTGCAGGGAGCTTTGAATAATAGTGCCAGGTTTACTTACAAGCCGAAGAATCCACAGAATATAAACAGAGCGAAACTAGAGATAACAATAAGCGCAGTCCCTGAATGAGAATGGAGATAGACAAGAGACCCGAACACAAGAAAATCGGCACACATTGCATCGCATCAAATCCCACAAGCAAGGTAAGACAAACCGAAAACAAGCCACCCTCCGAGGACGGAGAGCGGGTATAAGGATTCACGTGGATTCATCGAGAACGAACGAACGATGTCGCCTCTTGAAAGGACACGATCAAAACGACTCAACCAGTCTGTGTGCACGAATGCAGGTGATGACTCCACTTGATACGCTACAGGCCCCATTCGGAATCGGATTCCAATCCCAGAAAAGTGCCCCAAGATCTTCTCACCGAGCCTCTTTCGAAATTTGTTAAGAACTGCCCAACTTTTTTGCCTTTTGCTTTATCCGACGCATCGCATTTTGACGGACGCACGTTGGCTCATCTCGAGATTATATTGATAGAAACTCGAACTAATTGAGTCTGAAAAGTAGAAGGGTAATCACTCGTCAGGGTCGTCTAACTCATTGGAGACTTTGCTGATTAGGATACGACTCTCTGTTTGAAAGATTGACGGCTCATTGAGGAAGTTGGAGAGAAGATTGACTGTCCGATTGCGTACAAACCCGTCTTTCGGATTCATTCTTGCCGGTTTACATTGAGAATGTAGCACCCAAGTTGCTCACTCGCTGTGAGCAGTTCGAATCAACACCGAATTCTGCGGCACTTGCGCCTCGCTTTTGGTCCAACTTGCAGTTTTTAGGCCAAAAGTGCAATCTGACTTGCATGAGTTTGACATGCGCTCCTGTCTTTCTGAATGACCAAACACGGAACTTCTCTTTTGGAAGGTATGAATGTGACATTTAACCGTCAATGGTCTACTTAAAGCGATAGTTCAGCAGCTCTAGACGTTCCAGTATCATTCAAACATAAAAATCCGAGCAAAGCCGAGCTGGATCCACAGGCATAAATCGCCTCTGACGAGCCTATGGTTTGCACATAGAAAGCACATAACACTAAACTTTTTACTTCATTACGGGTGAAGCAGGAAGAGCGGGCTACCATATTATGTCGCGGGGAGATCACATAATATAAAAAACTGAGACAGAGAGAGAACACAAAATGGAGCATTATTGAGATCATCACTTGTCTATTACAATAACAGGAAGCAAATAGATCAAATTGCACAGAAAGACGAAATAGTATGCAAGTTAAACCAAAGTCAATTGCAGCGACCCAGCATGTGTAGATGTTTACTCCAAGGAGATTCCACCGCGTCCTTTGCCCTAAAGAACCAAGAAGTCATAAAGAAATGCGATTTTCCAAGACTCGGTTCTGCCTCCAAGGAGGTATACTGTATATGAAGCTAGAAATTATACTGTACTTTGAAGCTATTTAAGTGCAACCCGGAAGAGCAAGGATATTCATTATAGCATGGATTTTGTAACTTGACTTCCTCAACTTCTTTTTCTTTTTCTGAGGAAGAAATAGCTAGTACTATTTAAAAAGCACTCAGCAAACCCCTTCATTATGCATTGTTAGGTAGGGTGCCAATTGCCTCCTCAAAATGAAGTCCCTTCACAAAAGTTTCATAAGTATAGAAGGTTGACTTTAACTTCCTTCCGACAAGTAGGCAAATTTACCAACTTCTTGTTGTATAGGCCCTACAGGGAATGTTACGTCAACTAGAAACCCCAGCAACCAATGATGAAGGTGCTTCAATAGCCCTTTTTTATTAGTATGGGGGAATTCTTTGTGAAAGAAAATGAAGGGTCAAGTTACAAGTTATCTATAGTTCCTGCAGCTTACAGACAGTTTACCCACAACCAAAACAGAGGCCATTGCCTCTGGTGATAAAAGAAGTGGACTACCGATACAGTTTTACCTATATTCATCTTCTAAGCTATTTTGATTACAATTGCAGGGCAGATGACCAAGTAATTCAAATGAAAATACAAAGAGTTCAAGACTACAGCACAAACCTCTATTGCTCAAGCTGATCCCAACAGATTTTGGATATCTTTCTGCAGGATAACCCGAAAAAAACAAGTTAGTTTTGACTTAAATTGCTCCTTGCATTGTTGTAAATCAGATCCCTAACCTCAATTTTAAGAGGTGATGTAGTGGGAGCATATCTATCCACAACTTTCCCTTCTCTATTCACCAGAAACTTTGTAAAGTTCCATTTGATGCCGTCTCCAAATATCCCCCCTTTCTGAGATTTTAAAAACTTGTAGAGTGGGACTGCATTCTTGCCATTCACCTCGACCTGTAGGGCACAATAGACTATAATAGCTAAAATAGAGTGTAATATAACTCAAAACATCATTTATCCATATTGTACACAGTCAAAATTGTAAAAGTGGAAGACGGTTATGCAACTTAAACTTGCATATTGAACAAGTCTCTTTTATTGCATTGTGGAAAGTGTAAATGAAACACATTGCAAGCAAAATCTCAACCTCTTCTGGAGCTGCTCAATCATCAATTTTTATGCATACTAAGAGACTGTTTATGCTCTGGAGTTAAAAATGACCAAAAAAAGCACGAGGAATCAGAATATTTAAGAATTCCTTCTTCATTTTATTTTTTCAGGTTGTTTTCTGCTTCTCATGATTACCTTGTCGAAAATAGGGAATTCAGCCTTGAACATAGTGCATGCAGTCTCTTGAATCTCTTCATTACTCCCAGGCTCTTGTCCTGCAAACTGGTTGCATGGAAATGCCAGTATTTCAAATCCTGCTAAGAAATATCAGTCATGAACATATACAAACTCCGAAAGATCCGGTGCAGAGTAAAACATATGAGAACGAAATTGAAACACAAAAGACTAACGCGCAAACCTTGATCCTTGTATTTTTCATATAAAGTGTTCAATTCCTTGTAATTTGATTGTGTGAGACCACTGCAAACATAAGTGTGCTTATATTACACATCATATGTATCGAAGCAGATAATATAATTTCAAGGAGTTGACTGCTACGGGGGACATGAACTGGATTTAACAATTGGCTGTTCATTTACATCTAGAACAAAAGGTTAACAGATCTATGCCTAGGAGTTGAAAGGGAAAGAGAAGCAGCCCAGGCTTAAAGGATCAACACAGGCTTATGATGTTTGAACTACCAAAAGGGGTTAACATATCTATGCCTAGGAGTTGAAAGGGAAAGAGAAGCAGCCCGGGCTTACAGGATCAACACAGGCTCATGATGTTTGAACTACCAAAAGGTGATAACGGATTCAAGATTAGACATGCAAGTGCTCTGCATGCAGTGAAACACATAGCAACTTATGATAGGACCAACTACGCAACGACTTAACGCTGCATGTTCCATTTCATGAACGCTTAAGTTGCTGAATTCCTATCAAGGTTCTAATCAAAGGGCACGATTCTTGAAGAGAAGGTGCATTCAGTGGCAATACCATTTTGAAGCAACATTGACAATCAGAAGAACCTTCCCAGAGTACTCGCTCAAGCTTACATCATTTCCACGAATGTCCTGCATTTGCATCAGATGATTGACATCTACAGTTATAAACATCTCTAACTATAAACACCACGAAAAGGGAAGCAACATCGAATAAATTTCTACAACATAAGAAGCACAATATGGCATATCCATCTCTTCAGCAGAAAAGAACGTGCACACAGGGATCCGTATCAAGTTGAATGAAGACCAAGCATGATTGCCGCAGATTTGTTGCCAAAATGGTTGGTTTTAGGAATCAAGGAAAATTATGGATTGACTAAGAAACAACGATCAAGCAAAAGATTCATGATCTGGACGATATTCAAACTAACTCACACAATCAGGACGACGACCTGTAAAAAAAACATGTGAGTTCGTAGTCGCAGAAGAAAAGCAGTAGAATTACAAACAAGTGTTACATGGAACAACTACATCACATGTCGATGACACGCCGCAGAACAAAAGAACCAAACAAGAGCTGTCCTCACTTAAGAATTTCAACCACGCCGTTAGTTTCTGTCGAGTACGTGCAAGAAAATCACCGTCTCAAACCCGATCAGCTCGTACACCATGGAGATAGCTGAAAATCCAACCCCCCCCCCCCCCCCAAAAAAAAAAAAAAAAAACCATCTTCAAGCACAAGCTAAATTTCCATTTTTGCTGGATTAGCTTCTAAAATCTCTCCGACCCAAGAGCAGACAAACCATGATAAGCACCAAGCTGATCGTCACAGTCAAGATCTCAACAAAAAAAAAAAACCCAATAAGAAACGGGACGTGGACTCGTGGTGGGCAGACACGCACCTTGACGGCGAAGTCGTAGATGGACTTGGACGATTCCTCAGCCATTTCCGGAACAAGAGGCGGGGATCGACGCGCGTTGAAGAAGTAGACGGAGAGAGCTAGGAGCGCGAAGAGTAATGGGAAGCAGCAGCCGCCGGGGGATTTGAAGAACCGCTGCATGCCAAGAGGAGGAGGAGGGGGAGGACACGCATTTCAACATTCAAAGATGCGGAGTTTCACACGAGAACGGAAGGTTGCGATAGGAGGGCCCCGGGGGGGATTCGCTTCCCGGCTTGAAAGCGACTCTCCCCCAAATGGAGAAAGAGAATCAGAGTAGCAAAACGTCAAATCTCTCAAATAATAAAATGCGGAGAGGACGATGATGACATGACGGAGGAGGAGACGAGGGGGCGCGTCTTCATTGGTTTTCGCGATTTGATTTGTGAGACGTAGTTGGCAGGTGAAGCGTATATAAATGTCAACGGGATGAATGGCCGACGGCGAATGAATCGATGACACGTGTGAAATATTGAATGCCGCAACATTAGGGTTGGCCAAATTAATTCTATGCGCGTGTGTATGCAGAGCTCACGAAAATTAGAACCCGAACCTAATTCTCTCTGTGGCTCCAACCCCCAATCCCTTTTATCAGTAGGGGCCGCATGTCTGTTGGCACCTTTTAATTCCCATTGAATCTGCTGTTAATCTATATTCTATGTTTTCGTAATTTGTAATTGAAGAGGCCATAATGTAAAAACTTAATTTCTCGCACCCTGCGAAATGCCCGAAACAAGCTGGTCAGGGGTTTGTTCGTGGCATAACTCAAGCTCGTGATTTTCTATCGAGACAAATCCTTTCGTGGATATAGACTATCGCAAATAAGGGTGAAGAAAATCAATGCCGCTTCGTGAGTGCGATGCTTTTTTCTTATGACCCGTCATTGTCTTCGGCGGCGCTTGGATTGATCGGTGGATAAAATATCCACTATTAAAAAATATCAAAAAGCTCCTTCACAAATATATATATCTCATCGGATTAGGCGCGCGCCGGATAAGTCCGAGGAGGCGGCCCGGTTCAAAGAAGGAATATGCGACCTGTGATACGGTTTAGGTGGCGCATCAAGCTCAACTCACTTAAGGTCAAAATTGTAGAAGAAATATACTGATAAGCATCTTCAACTTGAGGCTAACTTCCAATTCGATTGCATTGCATCCCCAATACTCTAAATTCTTAAATACGAGAATTAGGCTATTTAACGAGTGACTTTTTTCCTTAAAAATGGCTTGCTTTTTTAGCATTTGAAATATATCTTCCATTTAATCGTAAGCAACCCAAATACTTAAATATATACATATGCATGAGGTCTTAAGTCCATTTTTTAAAAAATTGAAAATTTTTCATGGTTTTTCTAAATTTAAACAAAAGTACTACTTATTATTCGATTCGTACCAGCGGTTCCCTCGCAAGAGGAAAATGCCAAAATTGGAATTCTGAATTACATATATCGCAGAGAAAAATTGCGTGCCTCGTCTCGTTCTGTCTGTTTGATTTGAATTCTAAACGCTACTAATTCCCAAGTTCCACAGAATTCCCCAACTATGTTCAAGATGAAGCGTTAAAGATGAGTGCCCGATACTCCATCTTGACATGGACTCTACATTTGCACGACCAATTCGTAACGAAGACAGAGTACTCAACAACCAAAACTCATGGGGCGTTGCTTTCTGCATTTTCTTGATGAAATGCCCCTCCAAGACACTACTAGTGAAGGAATCCATAAGGAAAACTGCTCTGTTCATGCGTATTGACAAGTAATGTCCCCGATGGGCGTTCGTCGATGACAAAACAAACCACTTTCGAGGGGTTTTAAATTTCATTAACGATAAGTGAAATCCAACCCATAACCCATGAAGTTAGTGCACGAAGCTCCATATTTCCCAGATAATTGGTGAATACATAGATAGTTAGACATTTCCGCAGTTCACAGAATTGAACAGACAAACCTCCACTTGAGGCTTACCCATCATGATTCATGAGGCCTCTTTTGAACAGTCCAAATAACCTCAACCAGAACTTGAAATGGCTTCCTCACAATGCTCTGCTGCATCATCCTTTGCACCATCATCTTCAAAACTCGGAGCCTTTGGAATTAGTCCAAGCATCTTGAACATGAGTTGATCAGCATCGAAATCATTGTTAGGAGTTGTCAGAAGCTTCTCGCCCGTGAAAATGGAATTTGCACCGGCCAGAAAGCATAGCGCCTGCTCCGGCATAGAAAAACGGACTCTGCCGGCAGATAACCGTACCATTGCTTTTGGCATGACTATCCTCGCAGTGGCAATCATCCTTATCATCTCCCATATTTCAACTGGCTAAAAGCAGACATAAAAGTGAGATGCCTTTTCTCAAGACAAATCTCCTAAAGAAATCTAACCAGATGCGTGGTAACCTCATTATTCATGCTATTGATTCATAGAAATAAACTGATATGACTCTTAATTGGTGATCTCCACTCATTAACGTATGCGTGCTTGTTAAATTCTGTCGTGCAATTGGAAGTGGCATTTTCCTGTCAAAACATTTCAGAATAAAGCAGTTCTCTTTGCATTTTCAATATGAAGGCATTAGCACCATGCTTCAAGGCACTTGCCACGAAAATCTCATCTAAAAACTGTTAAGAGATCATTTTGATTATCATATGAAATCTGACACGGATCATTCTGCAAGTCTACTAGAATATCCTGTGTCTTTTCCCTATAGAAAATATACCTCCTGATTAGACATTTTCACATAATACCAGGACGTTTTCAAACCCAACTAGTTTCCATTAACATGTTAAAAAGTTGTTTTTTCTGAATTTCTTTATTTCTTCTGTCATATTTTTCGTACCAAGTCTTTACCAGTGAACATCTTAAGTTCACAAAATCTCAGACGGCAATGCCAGGTGAAGATTCATAAGAATATGCTTCATTTATTAAGTCGAAAGATAAGGAAAAGAAGAAAAAGGGGGCAACAACGTTTGCCTAAAGGAGCTGTTACTGATTAAAAATCGCTTGGGAGCGCAGTTTACTAACTTGTTACCAAGGAAAATCAAATTACCTTCTGATCTTGTAGAGGTGTGCCTTTTACGGCAAGCAGCGCGTTAATGGGGACGCTCTCTGGATGTGCTGGCAGGGTCGCCAAAGTATGCAACAAACCAACCCGGTCCTCCTCCGTTTCTCCAAGCCCAATTATTCCTCCTGTACATTAAAAAAAAAAAAAGAGTTTCGACTTGGTCATACAAATCGTAGAATTTATAACTAGAAGCTTCCTGAGAAGAGTCGTCCTTATACAATACAACCGTCGAGAAGAATGCAAAAAAGTATGTGAAGCACAGTCTAAACTACCACCATTAAATATTGTCATTGAATACTCAAAAGAGCCACTACTTTCATATTAATTAATGCCATCACATTAGTGACCTCAGAAAAATGTACCAGGGAATACCTAGTGGATCAATGCTTGCAGAGCTAACACCAGTAACATCGACGATTGAAGAAAAGGGGGAGGAAAAAAAAATCTAAGGTAAAACCACGAAACAACAAAACTCATGCTCTGTAGGTGATTCAGAAAGATGGTTTACACCTGGCTGCAGGCTAAAAATGAATAACATTAGTGAACTGTGTGGAATGGGACCAAACAGCTAAGAACTACAATTACTTCGGAAAGCCAGGAAAAAAAGGACTAGACACATTGGTAAGAAAAGTACCAGCCAGAATTGTTATTCAAGTTAACCATGCCAGGACAGAGAGCATACTCTCCTTAAAGCAGCTGCTGGCAGCTGGACTAACTCTAGTGATCCAAACTGCTTATATATTTTTTTGTCATTCCTTTTAACTTAACTTGCTACTTAATCTGTCTGAGATTAAATATTAAGGAAGAAAGTCTCCCTTATCTACACTGTAGTTGGGAGTACAAACAGGCTTTTAATGCTAAACATTAATTTGATTCGTTTTTCCTGAAAATGCTCCAGACTGTTCTTCAGAATCCTCAGAGAGGTCCTCGGTAGAACTTCAGAAAGATGAACAATCTGCTAAATACAGACAACAGTTCCTCCGAAAGCATGATAACCTTATGAATTACACTACATTTTGTACTACAAAGAATTTATCGTGATAGCAATAATCTGTAGCAAGAGCATACCAGAGCACACATTAATCCCTGCATCGCGGACGTAATCGAGGGTTTTCAACCGCTCATCATAAGTTCTTGTGGTGATTATATTTGGATAATATTCTCTTGAGGTATCGAGATTGTGGTTATACGCTGTCAGGCCAGCATTCTTGAGTTCAATGGCTTGCTGCTTTTCTAGCATGCCCAAGGTGCAGCATACCTCCATCCCCATCTCCCTGATCAAAAACATGTAGCAAGGTCAAACTTGTGAAGGAGAAATGTTAGCAGGAAAAGGAGTACCTAAATCAAAATGAATGATAAAAAAAAAGGGGGGGTGGGGTGGGGGACATCAAATCCTGACTTTGAGACTATTCAGATCCGATCATGCATGGCCCAGACATGCAAGTCAAACATGGGTTGTTCGGCTGTAGGACCGTTACTTCCATTACATCGATGTGGATTGCCTTCGGCAACAGCAATAGAGCTTTTTTAAACATTTGTAAGCCACGGGCTACTTAGAAAACCCTTTTGTTTGAACATAGGAGTTTGTAAGAGTATAATTCAGGAAAAGTAGTGAGAGACACCTACAAAACAAAGGACGGACAGATCTGTGGGAAAATAAATTTGGCCAGGCTGCACAAGAGAAAAAGTTTGCAAAAGGCCAAGGTAGCACTTTGTAGCATGATTAAATTTGCTAACATCGGTCTTGAACATATTGAACTATTGGCATCTATCTTTCTTTATGACACCTTTAAATATCATCAGCTACTAATGGAGTGTTGAGAAGAGTGTCAAAAGATTGGCCAACTAATGTCAACCAACATGGACTGTTGTGGCTGGAAATGTGTAACAGACAGCTTCGTGGCATTCCAGAGCTTGATAAAGCTTTAGCAACGGCGATCGTGATGAGATGTATATGGAGATAATAACCGAAAGTCAATCGAGACTCATTTTATGCATAATTCTAGTCCATCAATCATGATGTGATAGGATAGCTAAAGGAAAAGTAAATTTCCAAAAGGTCTATAGATAATACTCAATTTCCACAATAGCTTTTGTACTCTAGATTCATTAATATTTAACAAAGTTAATTGAGACTCATCCTACGCACAATTCTAGTCTGCCAATCATAATATGATGGAGGCCATAGCTGTAATCGGGAAGACGCTCAGCTAAAGCAGCAGACCAAAAGTAACCTGAGAAATTGTATTTGAATCACTCAGCTCTACATCAAATATGCATCACAATCTTAACGATACCTCAATTTCACACAGTAAGGCTGAGTTTACCAACTAAGGTGAGGTTACTCGTCATAAACTTTTCGGTTAAAAACACAAGAAGGAAAACAGGGCTGAGCGACCAATTGATGTCAGAATGAAACTTTCAAGGAACATTTTATCGAACTTAATCTCAAGGTTTGAGTGCAAAACTAAATAAACATTAACGATTTTGGCTGAGATGGACATTTTTATAGGGGAAAGAGCACAAATAACGGACAGGAAACTGCACGCATAATTGCGAGACACATGGTGAAGGATCCAACAGCAACAGTTAATCAATTTGCAAAGAAAGCAAGAGTTCCGCAACAATGTAGAGCAATTTCTTGTGGTTATATCATGTGGAGAGAAGTAGCTAGATGGAAAAGTACAGAATACTTTGCAAGGTACTTCCGTCAATTTTTGTCTTTCAAATCTCTCATTGAGTAGGATGCTTTGCATCTCATATCTTTTAAGAACAAAGGAGAATCACAGCTCCACCAACAATATGCAACATAAGCCGAAATCACTATGCCCAAAGGGAAGTACTCGAACAACCCGCTACTCCTCCAATAAGAAACTCTGAGATTTGGAATTGATTTAGGGTTGTCATGGGGAGTAGTCCTCCTACGATTTGTGTCAAGATATGAAATCCTAACTTACTTCCTTACAAAAGAGGAACAAAATCATTTGAAATTTGGATATTCACAATGCTTTTACATAACAATCTGAAAATATTACCTTATTTCCTTCACATATTCAAGGATCTGGTTAAAATTAGTCTTCCTGCCTATGGTATCTCTCCAGGCAGCACCCATGCAAAAGCGTGTGCTACCAGCCTCCTTGGCCTGAAAGGTCATACTGGTTAAGATCACACGGAAGTGGAATGAATTGCTTTGAAAACAAAATGCGGCACTAGCACCTCAGATAGGTGATAAAGAGAGAAATCTATATGACCATGAAGTAGCCCAGAGGAAATACCTTTTGAGCTGCCTGAAGGACATCGTCCTTTGTCATGAGCTTCTGGGCTTTCAACCCAGTGCTGTACCTGGAGGACTGTGGACAGTAGGAACAATCCTCGCTGCACCCACCTGTCTTTATGGAGAGCAGAGTGCACTGCTGCACTTCCCTGAAGTTATGGGCATGTCTATGGACTTGAGCCTGACCAAAGCGCAGACGTTAGCCTTTCAAAACTCATAAAAGCTGATGATGTCCGAACTCAAAAACCAATGCCCTTGCTATAAGAAATTCCTTTCAACAAGAGACAAGGACAAGATACCCATCACGCACGCAATGTCTTCTACATCTTAAAGACTCCAGCAGCAAGATTCAACATTTGGTCAAAGTATGGAACCCAACCGAACCGATCCTTCCTCCCTCGACTTTCTTTTCAACGTAAAGGTACGAATCAAACATGCATTTGCAATCGCTCTCTCCCACTACGCTAATGGCCGAGCAACACCCGCTGGGGGGGAGAAATCGTAAAGGGAAAAGACAGAGAAACGAGGAGGCAGAGGCGAAGAGATGCTGACCCCATGGAAGAGGAGATCGAGGACGGGGGAGCCGTATATGGACTTGATCTCGTCGCGGGACCAATCGTTCCGGGGACCCTCGCCGATGCTCCTGTCGGCGTGAACCGCAGCTGCCGACGAAGAAGAAGAGGAAGAGGAAGAGTAGGAGAACGTGAAGAGAAGAGACGAAGAAGAAGCGGAGATGGGCCTCGCGCTGCCGCGGAATGCCGATCGAATCACCAGCATCTTTTCCCCCCACGGTCGGCGGCGGCGGCGGCGGAGGAGGAGGAAGACGACGGTGGGGGGGGAGCGGGGGGGTTTTGGTTGTGCCGACGCTGCCAAACAAACCGGGGGAGCTCAACTACTACTATCTACCCCTCCTCGTGTTTGTCGTGCATTAAAAATCGTCATTCTCGCTGCAACGGTAAGTCCTTAATTTTCTCCAAATGGCGCGGGGAGGGCGACTGCCGCTGGACACCCGTCAAGCATCGATTGCATTCGGTTCGGCTTTTAAGAAATTTCTTTTTTGAAGTAATGTAAAGGGCTTTTAGATCATTGTAAATCTTGCGCACCGCTAGAAAATATTTGGATCAAATTATGATCATCTGGCATCATCGATAACTTTATAACTCGAGATTGGCGAATCTTGCGGCGATACTACACCGGGATGTTAGAAGCCGAAAAATCTCTCCATACGAGGAATGCGGCGGCAATTAGATAGTGCAGAATGAGCATTCCAGAAATTTGAATTGAACCCGTAACCTCGCGAAGGACGGTCGATCTTTACTATTAGGCCGACCACCTTGGTGGTCGTTGCTTTATAAGTCTGGTGGATCTCGCGCTTGCGCTACCCAATTAGCTCGACTTTCCAAGCATGGGGTCGAATTGATTAGTATTTTAAGGAGCAATGTAATGCAGTAAAGCAGGAAAGCACTTTCTTGTATTTACAATAGTCTTGCTTTTTTTTTTTTTAATTTAGTGGAGCGCGCTTTTTCCGCTCGTTCTTCAACTTAGACAATCCATTTTTTGTATTTTGACCGTATTATCCCTTGTGTAACCCACTACTTTTATTACCACTCTAAAAAATATATATTTTTTATTTCCTCTTTTTTTTTTCCTTTGTCGATCCCACTTTCCTTCTTCTTCTTTCTTTCCGCGCCTTTCACGTCTCAGTTCTCGGTTCTTGCAAATTGGTCGCTTTATTTTCTCTCTTGCATGCCATTCTCTTCTTTCTGTGCCTCCCTATTTCTCAAGCTACAGGGCATTGAGACACTATTGGCTTGCATTCACACTAAAATAAATCGAATTCACAAGAACAAGATAAACATACATTGGGAACCCCACACAAGCCCCACAAAAAGATCATCCTCCGTATCGATGTTGGCTACAGATGGACTATTAAGTTCTTGAGATGGATGTCCAGCCACCGCATCGTCAGCTTGTCTCAAGATGACAAGTTGTCGGTTGCAGATTGATTGCCTTGGGTTGTCAAGTTCTTGGGACGGACGTCCAATTGCCGCATCGTCAACTTGTCTCGAATCGATGAGCTTGACATGTCTGGCGAGTTCTAAGGCCAACACGATTATATCAATAACACGTTCCTACCCCACCACGCTAGACAACCAATAAATGGCGAAGTCAACAGTGCCGAGCACATCTCGGGCTCCAACCAGAAGACTTTGATGGGGTACAAATCAACCCAATTCAACTCTGAAACGCAGAAGCCGAGCAACAGGGGCGACTGTGGGAACGATGGGGCGAAGATGGATCGCGGCTTTTTCCCCGACGAAGTTGAAAGACAAGTCGATGCTCTTGAGAAGCCAAACTAGAAACTTCAACCCCACTCACGTCAGGAGTGCTTCGATGGTAAAATTCCACGAGGAGTACACCCTTAATCGTACATGGAGGGACCAGTCGAGATGCGTGAAAGCCTGTTCAATACCGTATGACCGTTTAAAAAAAAAGCGCAGAGTTACTCAAACTCAAAAAGAACCGAGTCGGGTATCAAAAATGAATCACTAACAAATTTAAACCTTTACTAAATTACCAAAACATCTACCTTTTTCTACCTGGATAAGATAATAAATCTACTTACATGGAGACATGGGAACTTAGTATCATGATAACAAATGCATCGAGAATATTTGACCGATTAAAAGATAAACTTGTGGATCATGGCCTAACATGATATTTAAAGTATCAAACGTATTCTTTTCGTTACAAAAACATTAAAGAACAGTTGAAAGACAGGTACTATCAAGTCAAAATCCGCAATTAATTTGTTGGGTATGTCATCAAGGTGGTCGTACATCCGGGAATTTTCTAAGTCAATGAGATACTTATCAATGTACTTTGTGCATGGTACTGCTGTAACTTTCACCTATCAAATCGAAACAAATCAGCTGCGGCTGATATGCAAAACGAGTAAGGATCGCTAGAAAGAGAAGAATAAAAGAACAAAAATGGAAAATAAAAAGAAGAAAGAAAGAAACGTGAATCTTTTTCTCGTTGTTTGGATGAGTGGGGATGGAATATAGAAAAATGAGCAAAACTTAGGCTCCATTCGATTAACGGAAAATAACTTTCATAAAATATTTTTTGGATGTTTCAGAGTTCGTTTAACGGAAAATAAATTAGTCATGAAAAATATTTTCCATCAATAAAAAAAGTACCTTCAAAAGTGAAGAAAAAGTTTTCCGTATCTTCTTTCACCCAATTTTCTTACAAATAACACATTTTATTTTTATTTTTTCTTGTTTTTCTTTTATAAAATACAGAGTTTTTCTTTCTTTCTTTCTTTTATTTTTGTCTTCTTCATTGGCTGGCGACCACCCGCAGGCGAAGCGGAGCCTCGCCGGTTTGTGGCGAGGCTCCACCTCACTTAATTTGGCGAGGTTGAGCCTCGCTGGATCTGGCGAGGTCCGAGCTTGTCCGACTAGCCTGGGGCGAGCTCGGGCCTCGCTAAAATCTGGTGAGCTTTAGCCTCACCAGCCTGTGGTGAGGCTCGAGCTCGCCTGTGGTTAGTCGCCAGCCACGGAAGAAGACAAAAAAAATGAAAAGAAAAAAATAAAAATAATTTAAAAATAAAAAAAAATTGAATTTGTATGTCATTTTTTCTGGAAAATCAAATCGGATACCGAATGACGAAAAATATTTTCCAGTTCATTTTCAGGTTTCGGCCGAACATCGAAAAATATTGTCATTTTCCAGGAAAATGACTTTCCAAAAACCATTTTCTAGAAATGTCAGCGAAATGAACGAAGCCTTAAAATAACTTCGGAAAGATCTAGTTCATTAATTTTCAAGATGCTTGTCTAGGCTTTTCTTTCTCACTCTCGTCTCTTCTCTTCCCAACCAAACAAGAATGGATGATTGTTCGTCAATGTTATTGTTTCTGCATCAACTCCCTCAAATATGAACATTGTAAATTGCTGTCGAAATTTTCAATATCAATTGGCTAAATTTTTGAAATTTGACAACCACCATTTTTAAGTTTTAGGACTCGGCTGAATTTTCGTGATGGATTTTAGGATTTTTCTAATCAACGTATCCTTTTTTTACCGTATACTATACACATATATGCATATGTCGTTTTGCCAATATCTAATATCATAAATGATAAAGTGGCATTTATCTCATTTACCAAGGCCTTCCCAAACTATCATTGCATCTAATGATAGATTAACACTTTTTTCCATACATAACTACCGACTTCTTGTGTGCACATAGCAAGTGCCTACAAATTAGTAAAGTTTATTTTATTTTTTAGGTCAGACCTAAACCTTTCGAGATATGTCATTAGATCTGTCAAAATAGACCATAAACTCATTTCGTAATCCATATTTGATAGGTCGAATTATTAAATGGATATTCAATAAATGAGTTATAAATTGATTTTGAATGGTAAAACCCAAATTAGGGAAAAGTGTCAAAAAGTCCTAAACCTTTGGCATTGGTGCCAATTTAGTCCTAAACCGTTTTTTTTGTGCCAATTCAGTTCTAAACCTTTTGCATTGATGCCAATTTAGTTCTAAACATCTTTTTTGTGCCAATTCAGTCCAAAACATTTTGTCTACGTGCCAATTCAGTCATTTTGCCTAATTTTGGGCGGATTTTGCTGACGTGGACGTCGATCGACAAGTAGCTGGTCACCGACGCTGACGTGGACAACTTTTAATAATATTTTAATATTTTTTGAACTTTTATTTATTTATTATTTCTTTTTTTTTTTCCCTCCCCTCCCTCCTTCCACCAGCCGGTTGCTAGACCAGCGACCGGCAACAGGCCAGAGGCCGGCGAGGCTCGCCCTTGCCAGCGACGGCGAAGGTGAGCCTCGCCCAACCATGGCGAGGTCGATCTCGCCGGCCTCTGGCCTCTAGCCAGTCGCCGGACCGGCGACCGGCTGGAGGAAGGAGGGAGGGGAGGGAAAAAAAAGAAAAAAAGAAATAAAAACTCAAAAAAAGATTAAAATATTATTAAAAGTTGTCTACGTCGGTGCCGGTGGCCGGTCGGCGTCTATGTCAACAAAATCCGATCAAAATTGATCGGAAAGACTGAGTTGGCACAAATACAAAATGTTTAGGACTGAATTGGTACCAATGCAAAAGGTTTAGGATTGAATTGGCATAAAAAAAAGTTTATGACTAAATTGGCTACAATGCAAAAGGTTTAAGACTAAATTGGCACAAAAAAAAGGTTTAGAACTAAATTGGCACAAATGCAAGAGGTTTAGGACTTTTTTGACACTTTTCCCGCCCAAATTAACATGGATGTTAAATAAGTTCACAATTTACTTACTTTCAACTGACCTCTATGACTTTTTCTCGCCCTCACTCGATTTCGTGCTCGCTCGCTCCACGCTCTCACCTCAGTTTATATATGAGCTTTTCTAAATTTGGTTAAATACGGAAATATTTTAACAATATGGGTAAGACGTGAATATTGATCGGGTCGGATACGAGTCACTATATTGGAATTGCATGGAAAATGGATCGAAAACGGGTTAAAATGAATCAATTCGGGTCGGATCATTTTTCGCCTCGACTCACCCGTATGATGGATCTAAATCTTAATTATGCGTTTTAATAAGGAATTTAAGTTAGGAAGAATAGATAAATTCCCTTTTATTCCCCAAAGACATTGGACAACAAAGCATTACTTTTTGGGTTCCCATTCTTTCTTCTTTTGGGTGGGGGTAGGCACTTCTTTTGCTGCCGCACGATTTGAATGAATTTTTGTGATTAGAGAAGAGACGGAGACGGACCCGACTCGATTCAAACCACCCATCCACATCAGGTGCGTTCCAATTTCCCCGTCTCCCCATCTCTCTCCTTCATTACATACTTGAACTTCTGTCCGTTCTGCCACAGTAGCTCCCAGATCTGCTCTCTCCGTCTCTCTGCTTGGCTTCGCGGTGTCGCCGACTCCCACGCTTCCCTGCCGACTCCTTCAGCTGGTGCGCGACTCTCCTTCT